CGCAGCCGCAGGAGAAGCGCGCGGCGCCGCAGCAGCAGCAGCAGCAGCAGCAGCAGCAGCAGCCCGCGGCGGCGGGTGCCGCGGCGCTCGCCCTCGGTGCAGCGCCCGGTGGCCCCCCGGGGGCCCCCCGGCAGCAGCAGCAGCAGCAGCAGCAGCAGCAGCAGCAGCAGGTTCCCCAATGGAACTGCAGCAGCACCAGTGTCTTATGGCTACAGCAGCAGGAGGGGAGAAACCCCCAACTTGCTGCCGCCGCTGCCCCCAACAGCAGGTTCGGGTTTGGGGCCCCGGGGGGCCCCCGGGGGCCCCTGGGGGCCCCCCTCGGGGGCCTCGCCGTGGGGAGGGTACGGGGGGGCCCCCGGGGGCCCCTGGAGCAGCAGCAGCAGCAGCAGCAGCAGCCCGTGGCCGCGCTCCGCAGCAGCAGCAGCAGCAGCAGCAGCAGTCCACCCCAAAGACCCCAGAGCTGCCCAGGGGCCCTGGAGGGGGGCCTCTCCCCCCCCAGAGTTTTTTGCTGCTCGCATGCAGCTGCGGAATGAGCTGCAGCGGCAGCAGCAGCACAAGTTGCTGCGCAAGGAGCAGCGAAAAGGTCCCGCCCCAAACCCTAAACCCTAAACCCTAAACCCTAAACCCTTGGGCCTTGGGCCCCGCAGCAGCTCGGGGGACGGGGAGGCGCGAAGCGCAGCGGGCCAGCGCCCGCAGTCAAGCTGGGCCGAGGGTTTAGGGTTTAGGGTTTAGGGTTTGGCGCCAGGGTCTAGGGGCTCGGGCTAGGGTTTAGGGTTTGGGACTAGGGTTTAGGGTTTGGGGCTAGGGTTTAGGGCCAGGGTTTAGAACCAGAGAAACAGGGTCACTCCGTGGTTAGGGCTTACTGTCCAGGGCCCCGGCCGCGCCAAGGCGTGGTTTAGGTTTTAGGGTTTAGGGTTTAGGGTTTAGGGTTTAGGGTTTAGGGTTTAGGGTTTGGTGTGCTGCAGCGCTGCGGCGGCAGCAGCAAAGAGAAATAAACCGCAGGGAGCAGCCGCCCTTTTTGCTGAGGGTTTTCTGCCGCTTGGATTCGCAGCACTCTGTGGAGGAGTTTAGGGTTAGGGGCCAGGAGCCAGTGCAGGACGAGTTGCAGGTAAACCCTAAACCCTAAACCCTAAACCCTAAACCCTAAGGGCTGCGCCCCGCACCCTCGGGCGGGGGTGCGGGGCGGCTGCTGCCGCGCGCCGCAGCCCGCGCCCGAGGGGTTGGGGCCGCGGACTCGCCGCACTAGGGTTTAGGGTCTGGGGCCTAGGGTTTAGGGTTTAGGGTTTAGGGTTTAGGGTTTAGGGTTTGGGGTTTGGAACAGGTTTACGCGTGGATGGACACGCGGCTGCGGGAGATTTGCTATTTAATAAAAGACGTTTGCGCGGAGGCGAGAGACAGAAGAGCCCTTTGGCACTTCAGGCTTTGCTACCCAGGTAAACCCTAAACCCTAAACCCTAAACCCTAAACCCTAAACCCTTGCCCAGCAGGAGCCTCTTCAGGCGGGCGCGGGGCCGGCAGCGAACGGGGCGCCTGCCGCGCGGGTTTAGGGACAAGGCCTCAGGGTTTAGGGTTTTGGGTTTTCAGGGTTTAGGGTTTAGGGTTTTTGAAGGTTTAGGGTTTAGGGTTTAGGGTTTAGGGTTTAGGGTTTGTGCTTAGATAAGGAGGGCCAAAATGTGTTCGCCGACGTTGGGATGCTGCACTCGATTATTCCGGACCCGAAGGAAGACTCTCGCACTTTGGCTGTAAACCCTAAACCCCAACCCTAAACCCTAAACCCCAAACCCTAAACCCTAAACCCCAAACCCTAAACCCTAAACCCTAAACCCTAGCTCGCAGGCTAAAGCTAGCCAAGCCCTATCTCGGAAACCCCCGACGCTCTGGAGCTGCTGCGGCGGCGGCGCGGCGCAGCGCGGGCGGGGGAATAAGCCCGAGGGCCCAGGGTTAGGGTTTAGGGTTTAGGGTTTAGGGTTTAGGGTTTAGGGTTTTGCAGGACGTGAAGTTTCAAGTGGGGGACTTTCTCGTGCTGTCGATAATTCGGAAGCAAAAGACCAATAAAAAACTGGCCCCACATCCAGACCCGAAGCTGCAGATGCAGGAGGGTTGGGAGTTTGCGCCGCGGCCTTCTGTGCTGCAGCAGCTGCCGCCCTTTGCTGCTGCTGCTGCTGCTGCTGCTGCAGCAGCAGCAGGGGGCGCCGCCGGGCCCGCCGGCCCAGCCCCCATGGCCGTCGACGGCGAGCCTGCTGCTGCTGCTGCTGCTGCTGCAGCGCCGCAGCACGGAGAGGACGCGCCCGATGCTGCTGCTGCGGATGCTGCTGCGGAAAAGTCTGCTGCTGCTGCTGCTGCTGCTGGAGAAGCAGCAGCGGACAAGGCAGCAGCAGCGGCCGAGGCTGCTGACAAGGCAGCAGCAGCAGAAGCAGCTGCTGCCGCAGACGAGGAGGCCAGCAACAAGGCTGCTGCGCAGCAGCAGCAGCAAGAAGAAGATATGGCAGAGGAGAAGCAGCAGCAGCACGAAGGAGAGCACCACCAAGAAGACAGCAAGCAGCAGCAGCAGGAGCAGCAGCAACAGCACGAGCAGCAGCAGCAGCAGCAGCAAGAAGAAGACAGCATGCAGGATGTGCGGAGGTACGTCCGCCGACCCGGCTCAGCCTTCTGCTGCCAAACTCGCAGCAGCAGCAGCAGCAGCAGCAGCAGCAGCAGCATAGCAGCAGCAGCAGCAGCAGCAGCAGCAGTTGTAATAGCAGCTTTGCTGCTGGTGTGATGTTTGCGCAGCGAGGGCCACGGCGAGCAGGAAGCAAGAGAAGAGTCCCGTAAGGACAGCAGCAAGAAGAGCAGCAGCAGCAAAAAAAGCAAATCAGCAGCAGAAGACAGCAGCAGCAGCAGCAGCAGCAGCAGCAGCAGCAAGAAGTCCGAGGGGCCAGCGAAAGAAGAGACGACGAAAAGGCGCTCGGCCAGACTCGCCAAAGACAAAAAGTGAGCAGCAGCAGCAGCAACAGCCGCTGCTGCTGCCGCAGCAACTGCTGCTGCAGCAACTGCTGCTACAGCAGCAGCAGCAGCAGCAGACGCGCAGGGGGAAAGGCTGCAGCAGCAAGAGCTGCTGCAGCCCAAGCACGAGCTGCAGCAGCAGCACTGTCTTGTCTGCCACTTTGAATTGCTGTCAATTTTGCAGCAGCAGCAACCTGTCCCGCGGAGCAGCAAAGGGCAGCAGCAAGCTGCAGCAGCAGCTGCAGCAGCAAGCTGCAGCAGCAGCTGCAGCTGCTGCAGCTCTCGCTGCTGCTGCTGTAGTGCGCACGCCGCGTAGAGACCTGATGTTTTCCTCTAGTTTTAAGTGCTGCTGTTTCTGCTGCTGCTGCTGCTGCTGCTGTTTCCGCTACTGCTGCTGCTGCTGCTGCTGTTTCCGCTACTGCTGCTGCTGCTGCTGTTTCCGCTACTGCTGCAGATGTTCTTGCTGCTGCAGCTGTTTTGCTGTGGCCATTTGTGCTGCTGCTGCTGCTGTTACCGTCCGTGCTGCTGCTGCAGCTGTTTCTGGTGCCGATGATGCAACCGTTCCTGCTGCTGCAGCTGTTTTTGCTGCTGCAGCAGCAGATGTTCCTGCTGCTGCTGGCCGTGGCTAGCTACGGCCAAGAATTAGCTAGCTAGCTACAGCTAGCTGCTGCTGCGGCGCAGCACTGAAGCAGAAGTAAAACACTAAACCCTGAGGGGGCAGCTGCAACAGACAGCAGCAGCAAGGTTCCTGCTGCTGCTGCTGCTGCTGCTGCCGCATTTCTAACTACTTGCTGTGCAGCAGAACAGGTTAGACTTTGGGTGGAGAGCCAGTTGCTGCTGCAGCAGCATGCGGCTGCTGCAGCAGCATGCGGCTGCTGCAGCAGCAGGCTCTTGCTGCAGTGGTCACCGGCTGCAACTCCTGCTGCCGCTGCAGCAAGGTGCTGCTGCAGCAACTGCTGCTTCGGCGCAGCTCGTTGCTGCTGCTGCAGCAGGGAGTGTCGAGGTGAGCAGCCCTAGCTGCTAGGCATCGGCGCTGCTGCTGCTGCTGCTGCTGCTGCTGCTGCTGCTTGCTGCTGCCTGCTGCTGCAGTCGCGTTGCGTCTCGTTAGAGCTACTGCTGCTGCTTTTCTGCTGTTTTGGGAAAGTTGTAGCTGGCTGCTCCCCAAACCCTAATTTAGGGTTTGGGGCCTGCGAGCGCCTTGCTAGCAAGCTACGTACTCTAAACCCCAACAAACCCTAAACCCTACATCGGCAGCCGCAACTCCCCAGGGCTACAAGACAAGAAGCTCATAGCACACTTTTTGCATTATTATGTCTAGGGCCTAAAGCCTTGATTAGGGTTTAGGGTTTAGGGTTCAGGGTTTAGGGTTTAGGGTGTTGAGTCATGCGGCAGCCGCGGGAAGTGTTGCGCGGCGCGAAGCAGCCACAAGCCAGCGAAATTGCACGGAGCAAAAAAAGAAGAAAATAAATAAACAAAAAAGAAACAAAGAAATAAATTAAACAAAAAGCAAATAAAAGGAAAATAATAGAAAAATGCAGCAGCAGCAGCTGCTGCTGCTGCCGCTCAGCCAGCGGCTTCCCAGGGATAGGGCCAGCCAGTGCCTCTAGGGTTTCAGATTGAACATAAACCCTAAATCGTGGTTTAGGGTCTAGGTTTAGCGTTTAAGTCTGGTCGGCTACTCGATTAGTCGGCGGCGGCGTTGACTCTGGCTGCTGCTGCTGCTGCTGCTGCTGCTGCTGCTCCTGGTTTCGGCAGCAGCTCTTGACCGCTTGGGCACCGCAGAGGACTTGAGGGCCCTTGTCTATTTCCGCTTCTTTTTCTTTGCTTTTCGTTTGCGCTTGGCATCTTTTTGCTGCTTTTGCTGCTGCTGCTGCAGCAGCAATAGCGGCAGCCGGAGCAGCGGCTGCAGCAGCAGCAGCAGCAGCAGCAGCGGCCGAGCCTAGGGACCACCTACGCGTGTCTGCGGACTGCAGGGGCCATTTCACTCCCCGAACGTCAGCAGCTGCAGCAGTAGCAGCAGCAGCAACAACAGCAGCAGCGATGCAGCGGCAACGCTAGCGCTCGCACGGGCGCTGCTCTAGGAGTCGCAGCAGCAGCAGCAGCAGCAGCAGCAGCAGAAGCAGCAAAGGCAGCAACACCGGCGGCAGCTGCGGCTGCTGCGGCTGCTGGAATTGCAGCAACGGCGGCAAAGACAGTTGCGGCCGAAGCAGCAACTGCTGCATTCCCAACTCGTCGCAGCAGCAGCAGCAGCAGCAGCAGCCACACCAGCAGCAGCAGCAGCAGCAGCAGCAGCAGCAGCAGCATGTGGCGCATGGCGGCAGCAGTAGGAGGGGGGGCCCCTTCGGGGGGCCCCTCTAATGTGCCTGTGGCCCCCCTCACGCAGCGCCCTGGTGCTGCAGCAGCAGACTGCTCAGCAGCAGCACTGCCGCTGCTGCAGCGAAACTTGCTGCTGCAGTGCAGCAGCGGGCACCGCAGAGGCGAGCTGCATGTGCTGCCTCACGGGGCCCCCTTGGCGGAAGTTGTTGCTGCTGTTGCTGCTGCTGCTGCTGCTGCTGCTGCGCCGCCAGCAGCGCAGCCAGACCAGAAGCAGCGCGCATCCGGTGAACCCAGACAGCAGCAGCAGCAGCAACTGCAGCAGCAGCAGCAGCAGCAACAGCAGCAGCAGCAGCGCGCGCCGCAGGCGCCGTCGGCGCCTCCGGCACAGGCTGATGACAGTAAGTTTAATCGTGCTGCCTCCTGCTGCTGCTCCTGCTGCTGCTCCTGCTGCTGCTGCTGCTGCTGCTCCTGCTGCTGCTGCTGCTGCTGCTCTTCACAAGTTTGTGTTTTTGTTGCTGCCACTGCTCACAACAGTTTGCGTTTCTGCTGCTGCTGCTGTTCACAGCAGTTTGCTTTCCCTTTGTTGCTGCTCCTTGCTGCTGTTGCTGCTGCCTTTCCCTTGTTCATTCTCTGTGCTGCTGCTGCTGCTGCTGCTGCTGCTGCTGTGTTGCAGCTATGTGGCTAGAGATACGGGCTGATAGGCCAACGCCCGTTGCAGTGTCAGCTGCTGCTGCTGCTGCTGCTGCTGCAGCAAGCAGTGCAGCAGCAGGAGGGCCCCTTGCTCAGAAGCTGAAGCTTTCGGGGGCCCCTCCTTTGCTGCTGGAAATGGAAGGTGCTGACAGCAGCAGCAGCAGCAGCAGCAGCAGCAGAGACCTGCTGCTGGAGTTTCTTGAGGTTTATGGACTGCAGCATCTGGCTGCTGCTGTTCGCAGCAAACTGCAGCAGCTGCTGCAGCAACGTGGCTGCTGCTGCAGCAGGGGAAGGCTGCAGCTGCTGCTCGGCAGCAGGCCAAGGGTTCAAGGTGTACGTACAGCAGCAGCAAGCCCTGCCAAGTATGAGCCAGCAGCAGCAGCAGCAGCAGCAGCAGACGCGGCAGCAGCAACGGCAGCAGATGCAGCAGCAGCAGCAGACGCGAAAGCAGCTGCAGTGGACACAGCAACCCAAGCAGTTGCGAAGCAAGCAGCAGCAGCAGCAAGTGCTGCTGCTGCGCCAGAGCAAGGCTCAAGCAGCAGCAGCAACAGCAGCTGCAGCAATGGGCGCAGCTGCAGCAAACGCAGCAGTAGCGATGCCGGCGCCCCAGCAGCAGCAGCAGCAGAAGCAGCAGCAGACACTGCAGCAAGTTGTCGCAGGTCTCCTGGCAGGCTGGCCACTGACTGTGAGGCAGCTGCTGCTGCTGCTGCTGCTGCTGCTGCTGCTGCTGAGACAGCAGCAGAAAAGGCAGCAGCAGCAGCGCCGACGCCGGCACCAGCGTCAGCAGGTCATTTGTGCGAGGAGAGCATTTGTGTCGCTACTGAAGGCAGCAGCAGCAGCAGCAGCAGCAGCAGCAGCGGCAGCCTGTTCTGCAGCAGTGGTAGCAGCAGCAGCAACAGCAGCAGCAGGGACGGCAACAACAGCTGCAGCAGCACAACCACTGTACCTGCCTGTACACCTGAGACTTCGATGAGTCCCCTAGACAGCCCAGCAGACCGCAGCGTCGATACACCAGGCAGCAGCAGCAGCAGCAGCAGCAGCAGCAGCAGCAGCGGCAGCAGCAGCAGCGGCAGCAGCAGCAGCAGCAGCGGCGGCAGCAGCTGCAGCTGGTGTGCAGCTCATCCACTGGAGTGTTTGTACAGTTTAAATCCCGAGCAGTTTTTCGTCCCTCGCCGAGTGCGGCCGCAGCAGCAGCAGCAGCAGCGGCAGCAGCAGCGGGGTCAGCGGCTGCTGCTGCAGCAGCTGCAGCAGCAACAGCAGCAGCTGAAGCAGAGCAGCTTTTGGCAGTCCCGTTCTCCAGCCGCCCTGAGCCCCCTGCACCCGCCCCACCCCGCAAGCAGCAGCATCAACAGCAGCAACAGCAGCAGCAGCAGCAGCAGCAGCAGCAGCAGCAGCAGCAGCAGCAGCAGCAGCATGGAGGTGTCGCCTGGGGACTGGCTGCTGTGGTCCGTGGCTTGTGCAGAACTCTGTTTGTTTTTGCCTTCGGAAGTCAGAGGCAAAAGGCTGCGGATTTTGCATGCAGAGACACGGGAAGAACTTGCTGCTGTTGGCTGGTCCGGGGTGCGCATTGTTGCTGCTGCTGCTGCTGCTGCTGCTGCTGCTGCTGCTGCTGCGGCGCCCCCAGCTGCTGCTGCTGCGCTTCCCGCTGGAGGCTTTTCTACAGTCCCGCCGCTGGCGCTGTACCCGAGCCGCCCGCCGCTGCTGCTCCCGAAGCAGCTGCTGCTGCGGCAGCAGCAGCAGCAGCAGCAGCGAGCAGCAGCAGCAACAGCAGCAGCCCAAGCAAGGCCACCGAACACGCCCGTGGAGGCCAAGCGGGAGATCCATGTTGCAGCTCGTGCTGCTCCTCCTGCAGCAACTCCAATTTACGCGAGCAGCAGCAGCAGCAGCAGCAGCAGCAGCACCGTCGACGGCCTCCCTGTGCCAGCGGCGTTGTCGCCCCCTGCTGCTGCTGCTGCTGCTGCTGCTGCTGCTGCTGCTGCTCCTGGG